TACAAGAAAGTTTTGTGCTTCTAGAAAATTTTAATAAATTAGAAAAAAATATATTTTAAAAAAATTGCCTTCCGATTTCTGATGCAATATAATCGATTTATTAAGTAACTATATACTACAAATTGATTTCAATAAAATATTTATGCATATTGAAGTATTTTTTGTAGACAAAAAGAAAATTTATTTAAATTTATTTATCAAAATTTTCTAGAAGCACAAAACTGTGGTCGAAAATAAATATTGTATGAACGAAGCCTTTTCGAGTTATATATGCTTAATATTAATTCCGCCACTTCTGTAATTTCATTTCAGATGGTAAGTAATTGAAGCAACATTTCGACAGTAGAATTATTTGTCTACAGTAGTATTATTATTATGTACATTATTTGTCAGATCACAATAGCAGATCATCATTTCTCATCCAGATGGTTTAAAAGACACCACCACCGGGTTTTTCCCAATCATATGGAAATTCTTGACAACCCATTGTTTGGAATGATTGTCGCATTAGTTGATAAATTTGATGATATGGTGGTTGATCATAATATTTTAATTGATCAACCATTTGCATAATTTGCCGTAGTTCAGGCGCGCAACCACCCATTAATTCATTTATTGCCGGTTCAAATCGGCATCGTTTTTTATAGTCCCCAACCTGGAAAGAAAATAATGTATAGAAGATTATTAAAATTTATTATTAATTAATTACAATTATAACAAACCTGATTCATATCAGCGATATTTTTCCACGGTAAATTTCCAGTAGTTAGTTCGACTTGCATATAAATCCACGTTTCAACGTCGTCTTTACGGCATAGTTCACGTTGTAGGTGGCAGGATATTGGTGCATAACGAACGGTTCCACGGAATCCAGCTGCTGCTCTTGGTTTACGAATTACATTCTATCAATTATATCAATTATTACACCCGTTAGTTCTTTTACTCAAATTTTTTTTTATTTTCTCATTTTTTATATTTTTTCATATTTCTGTCACTTGACCTTTATTAAGTTTTTTGCACGCTTTGCAGATTTTCTTTAATTTTTTTCATTGAACCTGGGAGTTAGTATACTTCCGGCACATCCCGAAATCTAATACGTAGATCTTCCTCAATTCATTCAATTCTGGACGCCCGATAGTATAATTTCCAGGTTTTACATCTCTATAAAATATTTTGAAATCACCAATTTCTTCAAATATTACAAAGCATATTTAAACTCGATAATTTTATTTTTTTTCACCCCGATTCTCACCTTTTTTCTGTTTAATTGTTTATGCTATATTTTCAGATGTTAGAAAACTTATTAGCTTACCGATGGAGATAACCGATAGAGTGAAGATCTTCCAGTGCTTCTAAAGCCTGAATTCCTGCTCCAAGGGCTGTTCCCATTGAAAGATGTTGCCCCATGCCTGCTTTGCGAAGATCCTAAAAGATAAATTTATAATTTTTCAAAATCTTGTGGATTTTAAATTTAATGATTTAAAAAAATACTATATTTATATTTTCAAGTTTTCAAGAGCTTCTTTAGTTTTAAATTTTTGAAGTTAATAATATTTTTGTTTTTAGGCCTTAGTTGTAACAAATGAAATGTTCCATTATTTAATCAGATTTATAATCAAATATTCAGGTTTAATTTTAAAACAAATATCACCTGCAAGCTTTTGCCAACTAAAGTCATAACGACATAATTAAATGATCCGTATCGTCCTTTGTCTTCAATCTTACAAAAGTGACGATTGTTACGCTTATTCAATTCAGAAAGCACGTATACTTCCATTTTGAGCACCTAAAAGAATATTAAAACTTTTTAACCAAAAAAAATATGCCAAACAACTTTATAATTTTATAAATGAAAAGTTCAGAAAGGAAATGGAAAAACATGAATAATTAAAAAATTCAAATTCAAAAAAAATTTCAAAAAAAAACAGGTCAAAGCTATCAGTATTAACCTGAATTTGCTCATTAACACCTTCAACTTTGAGCGCATATTTTCCAGTCATATCAGATACCTACAATAAAAATTAAATCAATATTTAAACCTCTAGAAAAATATCCAAATTTATAAATTGCCATTTTAATTGGAAGAATTTTAAATTAAAAATTTTTTATTGCTATTTTGTGTTCATCTAATTAATTACTAACTATTTATTTTTTAATCAGTAATATCCAGTAATTTACCAAGTATACAGCACCAAATCCACCTTCTCCAAGCTTTTTGTCAATGTGCCACCGGTCTACCTGATCACCTGGATTAAGTTGGATAAGCTGCTGCGCCATTCTGAATCCAACCGAACTGTACCTTGAATACGAGAAAATGATTTTTTTCCCAAATTAAATTTATTTTATATTAGTTTCTAATGAGCATTCAAATTTTCATAAATTTCTTTCAAAAATGTTTAAATCATAAATTAAATAGCATTGAAAAATATAATTCATGTAAATTAATTCCTTTTACAGTATGAATTAATTTCAAAACATCTTAATAACAGTAGTTGTATTGTAGCAAAAATTAAATTAAGTTATTATTAATTCTTGCAAATTGTTGCCACAGATTGTGTGTTTTTTAAAAATGATACCATTTATTAATATAAGTTTTATCAAAATTTGTAAAAAAATGCTCTTAATCTGTTAAAATGCCATGAAATCATTTAAATAATTTATTCATATTTTTGTGTTTCTTGTTGCGAAATATACTGATTGTTTTAATGTAGCCAAAAATACTCTTTGTTATGAAATATATTGATCATTGTAAAGCAGACAAAAAATTGTTATGAAATATATCGATTGTCTCTAGACTGTAGTGAATGGATTTGCACTTTGTATGCAAATTTTTAATAAAAAGTAAAAAACAACTGAAGCACCACCCACAGACATCATTCATCATAAACTACGGTTGCATTGGTCGGTTGTTTCTGGCTTCTCTCTTGCGACTGCTTTAGCTTTGCTGCAAATTCTTCTGTCATTTTCTTCGAAGGGCACCGATTATCTTCTAAGTCAATGTAACTCATTAAATTATCCTAGATTTAGTAGTAATTCATCATGTATTAGTTTTTAGATAAATTGGATTCATTGAAAGTTATTATTTTGAAATTTTTTATCTTTTTAAGATGGCTAATGTTGGTAAATCATTGACTCCAATTAAACCTGAAGACTTTAAAAGATTAACCGAAAAATCTGAAAAAATTGGCGATATTCCTATTGTTCAGGTATCACAATTTTTACCATATTAAGTTTTTCAATGAAAAATATGAAAAAAATTATTAACAGATTGTTGGCTAACTTATTAATTTTTATGACAGAATAATAAACTGGTTCATCAGTTTTTTTAGATATTTTAATTGTTTTCAACTTTCTAAGAATCCTGTCTTGTCTGATTTGAAACATACGGTAAAAATGTGCTCCAGGAGTCATATGAGGTACTTCCTGAAGGCGTTCGAGCTTTTGTCGCTGAGAAAGCTTTACTGATGACCCCGAGTAAAGTATACATTGTTGATGGGTCGGAGCAACAGATTCCTGAGTTGCAAAAAGAACTAGTTGATTCAAAATTATTGGTACCCTTGAAAGCTTACGACAATAATTGGTTGGTTCGAACAGACCCGAAGGTTTAGTTTTTCAAAAATTTAAAGTCAGCTTGACCACAAAATTAATATGTACAACTTTTAACAATCTACACTTTATAAAATAACAAATTTTTTTTATATGTTACCATAAATTTGATTTGACTACTAACATCAGAAATTATCCAAACTTCAGTCTAGTAGATGCAGATATTTCAATGTTTTGAATTTCAATTTAGCATTCAATGATCCGGCCGACACATAAGTATGTTACAAAGCATTAATTCAGGATGTTATCGATAATATCGAAGAATCGACATGGATTGTGACTAAAGATAGATATGAAACGGAGTGTCATGTTGCTGACGGTGTAAAATCTGATTTTGGCCATTGGATGGATCCTAAGCAGTGCAGTGAAGAGCTTGACAAAAGATTTCCGAATTGTATGACTGGTAAGTATGCAATTAAAGCTTATCGATTTTTCAGGCAGTTGGCAAATTTTATGTGGCAATTGTTAGTTTCAGATTTCTCTTGTTCTATAAGTTTGAATTTTTTTTCATGGTTTCGTTTTTCAGGTCGGACACTTTATGTTGTACCATTCATACTTTGTCCATCAGAAGCTATAATGTCGTTGTCTGGTGTTATGGTAAAATTGTATTTCCATATGCTGTTACTTAAAATTCACATTTAAAAATTCACTCCTTCTGATTACACAGAACCTAAAAAGTGAAAAAAAATTTAAGTCCGTTGAGAAAAATACAAAATAAATTTTTAGTTGACGGATTCAGCTTTTGTTGTACTGATGATGTGTACTATGACACGTGTATCACCTTACGCCTGGCTCAATATTGGTGAAGAAAGTGAGCATGTAAGATGTATACACTCCGTGGGAGTGCCGTTACCAACTGAATGTTAGTACTGGTTTTGTATTTTGCATTCTTCAGTACGGGAACAAGCTAAGGGCTGGGATGATTATATTTTTAAGGAATATATTTTTTAAGTAGCATTACATATCTTGATAATAAAGTAATTTTAATTTTTGTTCACTGTAAAATGCAGGAAAAAGAACTAAGCATTGAATAGTATGAAAAGCAATAAATATTTAGTCACTTTCAACTTAAGAATGGCATATTTATTTCCAGAGATATTAATTCTGTAATTAGGGATCACATAGTTGACGATTCGGTGTCAATTCAGATATTTTGAAAATAGTTAAATAACATTTATTTTTTGTCAGTTGGAGCAATATTTTTACTAGAGCAAGACACCCCGTTTCAAAAAATAGAAGTATGTTTAAGCATCGAGGAAAATTTGACTAAAAATACTTCAAATCTCAATTGGTATTTGATAAGTCAATGTTTAATTGCCAATTCAAGGTATTATTTTTGCAAAATTGTCGTTCAAAAAAATCTCTAACCTAAAAATAAAGTTAATTCTAGCAAAAATAGAGAATAACTGGCCGTGTAACTCAGAAAAGGCATTAATCGTGCATTTAATGGAGGAAAGACAAATTTGGTCATTCGGTTTGTCGTTTGGTTCAAATGCATTGTTGCATAAAGAGTGCTTCGGTTTGCGTTTGGTATCGAGAGAAGCTTACAGAAATTGCTGGCAAGCAGAGCATATGTCAATTTTAGGTTTGTAAATTAATATTAATGTAATTCATAGAACAAAACTTTTTGAATTTGAATTTTGTCAATTATATAAGCCAGATTTGAATTTGAAGTTATACCACATGAAGCGATAAAAGTAACGTATTAATTAGCAATTGACGGTGTTATTCATATAGTACATTAATTTCTAAAAAATTCAAGCAGCTACTGTTCATGGCTATAACCGATTACAGTTATTTGCATTTCTGGGTAATTATATTAAAGAAAATGTTTAGTTGTAACAAAATTCTGATCTCGTATATTGCTGTCCAATAAATTATGAGTAATTAGAAGATAAATGAAGCTAAAATAATGCATAATTTTAGGTATACGACCTCCAGGATGTCGAGAGATTTTTGTTGCCGCTGCGTTTCCTTCAGGAGCTGGTAAAAGTTGCTTATCTATGCTCCAGTCATCGATTCCTGGATGGAGTGTACGATGCCTCGGTTTGTTTTTTAATTTTAAAAGACATTCAGATTCATTTTCAGGAAACAAAGTATAATCATTTATTTACAAATTAATTGTCAAAAATTTTTTCTAACCTTTTCTATAACTTTGATAACATTTCTAGCATTTATTTCTGAGTTCAAAAATTTACTACAGCAAAAATCAATAAAATTATTCACTAACATTGATTTTCAGAATTATGACAAAAATGCTTGTAAAAAAACAATAAAACCAAATAAATATTTGTTATAAAAGTAATGGGTTTTTTAGGCTGTGATATAGCATGGTTAAAATTCGGTCTTGACGACCGTCTATATGCCATTAGTCCCGAAAATGGTATATTCTTGAAGGCAGTGGGTACAAATAGTACTAATAATCCCAACGCAATCGGCGCGATTTCGAAAAATACAATTTTCATAAATGTAGCAGAAACTAGTGATGGTGAATATTTTTGGGAAGGATTAGAAAAAGAATTGAAGGTACCGCTACGAAATAATAATTTTGTGATTTTTTTAATCTTCATTTCATTTGATGAGTTCAAAAATGATTTTTTGTATAAAAGCCAGTCATTTTATGCTGGTTTATGAAACATTTTAAAACTAATTCACAAATACATAAGACTTCGTGATACGATCTTTATTAATATCAATAGAGTTAAGCATTTTAGAGAGCAGAAAACTTAGCATCAGTGAGTGGGATGAGTTTTGAGAATTGGTAACTCTTTTCACTATTCAGATAAGAATTGAATTATAGGTTTTTGGTTTGATTGAATTATGCATTAAATAGCTGTTGAAAGCATTAAATTTATTAAATAGCTCTTGATCGTATCAGTTACTGTGATAGTTTTTAAAAAAAAGCTACATTTCATAGATGATAAATAGCCTGATTGATGTTTATAACGGGTTAGAGTAATTTGGTCGACTTTTAACAGATGTAATCAATATGTTGGTTTGGAATTAAAATTACTATGATACTTTCAGAATCCCCAAATTGATATGGTCAACTGGGAAGGAAAAAAGTGGAAAATTGGTCAAGAGGGTCGCGGAGCTCATCCAAATGCTCGACTTTGTGTTCCTTTTGACCAACTTCCAAACGCGCATCCAGAATGGGACGGAGAGCAAGGGGTACCCATATCGGCAATTATTTTTGGAACGCGCAGGTGAGATTCAGTTGTCTGAGACTATTTTAAAACAAATAGAAATGAAACTAGGCAAATTCTTCAATTTGCTTTATCTTGAAATTTCACAGATTCCTCTTTCAAATTAAAAAAGAGCCGAATTCAATGCTACCACTTCAAATTTTATGAAAAACAATTGTAAATTATTTGAAAATTAATGTAAGGTAATAAAGGGCTGTTTTACTAGTTCGACTTCACTTTCTATAAGCATGAATGATTTGGAATTATTTGTATTGTTGTCAGCTGTACATAACTTTTAAATGCGGCAAAAACTTGCTGCATGATTGTAATGATGTGAGTAAGTATCATTCATTCAGATCTTCGGGAATTCCACTTGTTTTCGAGCCGTTTTCATGGGAACATGGCGTTTTTATGGCAGCATCACTTCGTACTGAATGTATCAATGATTCAGGTGAAACCCAACCGAAGCTTCGACATGACCCCATGGCTATGGGTCCATTTTTAGGATATAATCTGGGGAAATATATCCAAACTTGGCTCAGCATGGATGATATCGGTCATAAAGTAATAAGTTTATTTGTTGGAAATCCATGAGTACAGTACAACAGTTAATGTTTCACTTTGTTGTATAATAAATCTGTTATATATGAAATATAGCATGGATCTATGGATATTGTACAGATTTAAAGAGCATGAAACTCACTAATGATTATACGGACACGAAATTATGGAATTTAACGATGCAGTAAAAAAAACTACAAATGTGGGAAAACATTTACTTTTTACAAATTATGATATATCTATTGACCTTAATTAAAAGCAGTGTAAAAGGTCAAAATAAAACACATGAGTTTTTTGGGATGTAAATAAAAAGATATTATGTGGGTAGACTTCTAAAATTTAAATATGAATGTAAGAAAATAAGTCAGAGATATTCATAAAAAAGATTTATAGTTAGGTTTATCGCTTGAAAATCTATTTTTCAGATACCGAAAATTTTCTTCGTGAATTTTTTCCGAACAGATGCAAATGGTAAGAATCTTTGGCCTGGGTTTGGTGAAAATATCCGAATCTTAGCCTGGATTCTGAAGAGAATTGACGGTGCGAAAGCACTTTCACGTACGACCGCAATAGGCAACTTGCCCTCTCAAACCGCCATTAACTGTCCGGGTGTAGAAAAAAATATGGATGAGCTGTTTGCGATTGATAAAAATTTCTGGGTGCAAGAATGTAAAGAGACTCGGAAATTCTTCAGTGAACAGGTATGACTAAATTCTTATAAATTTCATAAAGTTTTATATATGCCAAAAATGTCGTATTTGGCAAAGACTTAAGTAATTAACATTCGATAAAAAGTAATTGGATCAAATATTTTTTGTAATGTTACTTGCTTATGAAAAGTTAGAGCTAGTAAGTGAAGAATACCATTCAAAATATCCTCTTTAACTCACTGCAAATAATTAGTATTAAAAGTTTACTCCCTCTTGTAAAATATTTTGCATCAAATAGTATCTAGTAAGTATTTGACTTAGGATTAAGAAATCAGGAAACTATCAAAGTGTAATATTACAGCTTTTGGAATAAAAAGTGAAATTCTGTTGCCATTTGATGCTTGTAATCAAGGGTACATTTATTGCATTCTTTAGCTTGGATCGGATCTTCCAGAAGCTCTGAAAAGGCAGTTAGTCGAACAAGAAAAACGAATAGATGAATTATAAAGTGATATGAAACTACTGTTGAATCAGTCATAAATTTTGATAATATGCTAATTTAAATGAAAAATGATTTTTGTGCGAAAAACGAAAATTTGCCCTTTTAAATTTTTAATACAAAAAATAAATTTGAAAAGAGAAAGGCAACGTTTACGATTAGTTTTGACTAATTTCGGAAAAATTAAATAATACTTTACAATAAATAACTTTAGTGAGTGCTTCACAGTCAATAACGGCTGTAGGTCAAAGCATCAATTTATTACAAAAGTTATCAAAGTTTAAATAATGTATGTAACATATTATCAAAGTTCTGACTGATATTTTATTCACTTTGAAAAATAACAGCACTTTTATCTGACTGAAACTAGCTGTCTATCATATATTTGTGATTTTTCAAAAAAAATTACACAATCTGAATTACTCACAGCACAAGGAACGAACTAGTAGCTAGTATCTTAATGAGAGATTTGTCCACAAATATTTTTACTTTCTTGTTAAAATATGGAATTTTTTACTAGGACTGTGGAGTAGTATTGTAGGTAACTCTCAATCATATTAACTTGAGAAATGTGCAAATTCATTTTCATGAGCTTGAGTTAGAGTCGGTTGTGGAAAAATTTTAAAATCTTGTTCATTCTTAAGAAAGTATGACTCGAGTTTGCCTGGGAAATACTTTCAAGTAAAATATTCTGTGTACGGACGGAGTTTTCCAAGAATATGAAGTCTTGAATCTGCAAATTTAATCGACCGAATGAGAAATAGGCAGTAAGCTGACCATAATCGGCAAAAAGATGATAATTTTCCTTCGCAAAATCCCATCAGGATTCATTTACAGTCGGATTTTTATCTAGGAATATCACTGAAAAATACTTTTTCTCTAGAATTAGTCCGTAATTTTAAGAGTAACTGAGATCTTTCAGAATTTTCATGCATCTAAATTTTATTCATATCAACGCAGTTTTGCTGATTATTTTCGCTAATTATTTTACTGTTCTATGTGAGCAAACTATGAAATGTGTCTGACTCCATAAATCAGATTATCCCCAACCAGATCCTCAGGATACTGTTTGTTGTTCTATTTCTGTAAAATTTTTTATATGAACAGCGAAAATTAATGTTAAAGTGATTTGCATAAAAAGTTATAATAAAGATCGGAAACATGCAATTACAAAAAAAAGATGAAATGAATGTATTTTTCCACTGTCTAAGAAGTATAGATGAGGTGTAAGAAGTAAATTTCTATTCTGATGATAGGATAGAGAAGAAATTTACAATCACTTAAAATAACAAGAGTCCAATTATGGAGAGAATTTAACTCTACAAAAACAATAATGCATTTATAGTAAAGAACAGAAAGATAAAGGATGGATAAGAAGAAATATTTCACAAGAAAAAAGATTTTTTAAATATTCAGCTCCCATCGTAAAAATTTTGGACAATTACCATTTTATTTCTCAATCTAATAACCCACAAATAAACATATTTATATAATAGCGCAGATAAATGAATAAACAGTAAGTAGAAAAAGCTTTAATTAATTAACGAAAAACTTGAAAAAATCTAAAATATAATTAGCGAGAATTCGTAGGCAAAGGACATGAAATAATAATGGTTACAGCAATTCCCATATTTACAAGTTCACATACTTGGAAACATACAAAGATGATATGGAAGTCCTTAATCTTAAGCAATAAAATCAAATAAATAGAAAAATAACCAAATTTTAATTTTGGTCTTCGCACCAAATAATTGTAATAGTACCAGTCAAAATAGTATCCAGAATCTAAAGTATTAGCTAGTGTATCATCTAACATCCTAGATTCTGGACACTGATTGCAAATACAAGATACAAATACAAATACAAAAAAAGATGTGGTAGACATCAAAATATTTCCTATAAAGCAAGTTTAGAGCATCTTCCTGCTTTAAACTTAGTAAAGGGTTTGCATGTAAAACAAGTGATCTGAATCTTGTTTTACTATGATTTCTCGACGGAGTACTTCCAAATTTTCAGAAAAACACAATTTATATAGTAATATATTACCAAGTAGTATTTTGACATTAAAAATAAATAAATACAACAATATAACACAAAAAGCACACAAAGCACATCAACTATTTACAAGCTTAATTACTAGCTGATATTAGGTTGCAAATCTTATACTCACAGATTGCTAAAAAAAATCAGTTTGCTATAAAATCTGAGCTATTTAATCTAGAATTTACCATTTTTTAATCCATATGTATATGTATTATAACAAATACTAAGAAATTTCGTTGTAAGTTATTAATCATTAACGATACTTTTTCAAAAATAAGTAATCTTAAACATGATTTCCGGATCCATGATCCTAATTTACCTCTGGTATTATATTGTATAGTTGATGGCAAAAGGAATGACTGATTAATATCGATAGTAAATAATTGCAAAGAACAATGGGCGAAAAACTAATTTCGACTAATTTTGCGCAAAAATTAAAATTAGACTAATTTTGCGCAAAAAAAATTGGTAAAATATGAAAAAATTCCTTAACTTGATTAACCAGCTTCCAGGCATTATAGGACAATTTACACAAAAAATCAGTACTGATAACTTTTTCTTTTCTTTGAATTGTTGTCTTAACTCTAAGACATATCAAGTTAATTTTAGTTTCAGTAAATCACTGATGAAATTTTATAAAACTTTCCAGCTTAATTTTTGCATAAAAGTATTAATATATTATTATTATTACCTATAAAAAGAATAAAATTAAATGCCCAAAAATTAAATAAGGCATAAAGAGCTTGTGAGTATTGAGCATCCGCGCGAACACACACGAAACGGACAATATATGTACATGATGCAGTTGTACTAGCTAAAAATCGTAACAGATTAATGAGTTATAAAATCACATGCAGTACGTTTATGTACAAGATATAATGAACTAAAACCACTAAAGAAGTTCAGTTTTGTATTAGCAAACACTTCAAAAACTATATGCGAATTTCGATGCTTAAGAGACATGAAGTCGTCATTTAGTAGTAATAAATGGATAATTTTTATTTTTTTTGAAATATTATATAATGTACATTAAAGTAGATAGAAACACAATACATACAGATAGATGCATGCATAAACGCACCTAAATTTATTACTAAGTTTTAAAAAACATATTTACAACATGAAACTATTACAATTATATTTGGTTCTTCAATATAAATTATGCGCCATTGAACAGCAAAAATATGAGTTACATAGAATAAAATATAATGGATATATATTTATAATAAGCTCAGAGAATAAGTGTATTAAAACTGAATATATGTATTAAATCCAGCCAACTCTTTTAATTAACCGCGCAATCAATCAAACAATCAACCACCAGAAATTTGGATACCAACAAAAGCCATTTTAAAACTATATCTGCTTAAATTTATTATTGAAGTTTCTGCTGCATACTGGTGCTACTAAATAAAACACCTTTTCATTGCTTATATTTGATTTTATTAAAATATCTCCCACGAATAAACTTCTGCAAATTTTAATTCCTTGCCAACCATTTCAGTTGATTAGCCATCAATCAATATATTTTCTAGTTATAGTTCCATAAATAACCAGATATGTGCTCTAATTAGTAAATTTTTTGATGTTGCACATTGCTATCCAAGCTGACTGAATCCAAAAATCAGACAAAAAAAGAGCAAAAAATGAGCATTCTGTCAGGAAAATAATAACTTTAAAAAAACAGATGTTATAGAAACAATAACTGCAACAATACTGATTATAAATTCTTGCATACAAATTGAAAATTAGAAAAAGCTCTTCTCATGCATTGCTTCGCAAATGAGAAAATATTCGTTCCAAAAAATTTTGCTTTCCCGACATATTATTACTATGATGATGATGATGACTGTTATTATTGCTATCCATCAGCAACATTTGAGTTGAAGGACGAATCGCTATATCACTTTCTTCAGGTTTTTCGGCTACTTTCGCTGTAGACGAATAAAAGGAAACAACTGTTCTTTCCGGTTCGGCTGTCTTCACCATAAAATGATTACTGTCCTTAGGATCGTAATATGTGAATACCAGATACCTGTGAATTGTAAAATACACATCTCTTGGCAAGATACAAAATTTACTGCGCTGTGGCAAATTTGAATTTCTTATTACTGAAAAAGATCAATGTCCTAAAAGTTAATCTTGAATGTGGGATACCTGATACATATCGACAAAATAAATGCTTTACTTTATTTCTATGCTATTTTACAAAAATCTCGAGTAACGCTGAAAATTTTCTGAAATAATCTGCTTCAAATAGCATCACTAAATCTATTTTTATTTCTACTCATTCAATTATTCAAATTACCGACAATGACTGACTGTGAATAAATAAAACATACTTGTCCTCAAATTTATAGTTAATCCAAACATTATGCTTACGGTGTCGGAAAATAAGCTGCTTAGTGCTCCCGGTTTTATCACTAAATTTGTGTCGTACAACCTGAAATCAATCAACACTAGTAAGCAAGTATATGATGAAATATTATGAGCTCCAATGCAAGCTTATCTAAAAGGAAACATGTATTTGTAGTTAACGTCGCACTGGTATATTTATTATAGAGCTGCAGGGATAAGTTAATTTGAACTTTTAATTTTCAAAATTAAAGTTGTCTGCATCGAGAATCTAAAATTTTCTAATCATGATTAACAAATTTCTTTCTGACATGATTTCATCTCGATAATTTTAACTTTTCTTCTTATTCCCTCTATGCAGAATTATTTAAACGGTTGCCTTTTAATAACTTGGAATGTTATTTGCATGGGCTGTTGACATCTGCTTACCCGTGAGTATTCATCCACGTTTGATACTCTCAGTTTATTGTTCTTATCGAGATTTTGTTTATTTTAAAGCAAAAAGTTACTACAACTTATTTTTGAAGATTCTGTGATTTTTCTTCAAATTTTGATTACTTTTATTGCTTTTTTTCTTGTTTCTGCTGCACTCTCAAATTTAAATTGGACTATTTTTTTTGCTATGAATTTTCTAATTATATCATTATTCCACATTATCCCAAAACAGTACCAACTTTTTGCTTGCAAATCCAAAATTATAATGTGATAAGAAAAATCAGTAAAAACTAACTTCTCCACCACAGTCGTTACATCCAGAACATTTTGTTGCATGAATAAATTCCGATGGATGTACACTTCTCTCATCGATAAGAATTGTTTGAAATGGTATAATATCGCGGTGATCTCGCCATTTCTAATATATCAATTATTAAATTAAATTTTCATTTAATTTTGAAATTATAATGCTTCTAGTGTTTCTTTTAATGCTTTTCTTAAAAATTTAAAAGTAAAACACTGCATGATATAAATATGTTTTATAATTCTTCTTTTTATAGAACAGTCATAAAATTTATTGATAACTTAAAATTCATAAAACTAACATTCATTTTCGCTACTTAATAATAAATGACAAGATGGAATAACACCATATAAAATGAAAACTTACACGTATAAAATTACAAATCGCTGATGCATTGATATCGTTCTTTCCAGTAACACATAAACGAAACCGTCGACGATTTGCTGCCTTTACTTGAAGAAATGCATCCAAAAGACCACCATTTGCAATTATACATGGATTTGTTTTCTGGAAAATAATTAGACATAATATTAATTTAACATAATATTAAATTTTTTGTGAAAATTTTGCAATAAAAATAAGTCAATAACTTTTATCTCGATGCATTTAATCAAAATTTTACCGGCTGAATAATATTCAGCTCGTCAATGCCATCTATATTGAACACTTTGTGCAATTCAACCATTTGGTCTCCTTGAATGCAGTCAAGAGTTAAACGACGTAGCTTTGGCAATCTGTAGACAATTTTAATTAAAAGTTGACGAATACTTCAAATATTAAAACCAAACATATTAGAACTAGGAATTACAAATTTTTTTAATCGAGGACTGCAAATAACTATGACGTTATACAGACTAAGTCAATATTCTTGCGATTAGTATTCTAAGAGCTTAAATTGTATTTTGTATTCCTTCCTTTTACTTTTCTTCTTTTTTAAATTTTTAAATTCTTTTTTCTGATTTGTGAAATATTTCATTTCGTAATTTTGTATCTTCTTTTCGTGATGTAAAAGAAGATACAAAATTTTTAAAGTGATTTCAGATAATTCCGTAGAATGACTGTGGCTGACTTTTTCAAAAACCAGAAAAGTAAAAGTGTTGGTCGCTTTTCATAGTATGAATGGTCATTAAAAACTAAATGCAGCGGATGAATGTGGCGCAACTGCTCAACAAGTCTTTCAAAGCAACCATCCGAAAGTTTTGTTAATTCAGCACATACAGCCTGAAAATAAATTTAGTCAAAACCTGTGATGAAAGAACAACTGTAATTAAACTAATTAAGCAGAAGCAATACATTTTTTTTCCATAGTAAATAACATACATAAAATATACTTGGCCTGTACAAAAAAACCTAGATTCAAAGTAAAATGAAATTTTGTTCAATATTTATATTAGATGAAATAACATTATCAAATTTTGTTACATGAAATTGGAATAAATAGACTTAAAGATAAGCCTAACAATTATAAAATATGAAAAAGTAGCATATTCTATAAGGTAAATATTACTTCATTTAATATAACTTTGGAAGCTGAATCTGGCATAGCTCGAGCTTTCTTCTGACTAGATGGAAGCAAGTTGTATGGAATACTTGCAACAAATGAAAATGAGCCCGATGAACTTCCACCACTTTGATAAAGCTGTGATGAATTTGATGATGCACGTGATGCTGATGATGACTAAAAATTGCATTTTTTTTTGCAAGACATTATCAACAACAAATAAATATATTATACAAATTTTTAATTCATGCCTAAAAACACTGAATCTTATCAACAAAAACTGATTTAACACTATTTAGCTTTAATAGCTTCCATAAGAATTCAATTAAAAAGTGAGAATTATTAGCATTTTCAATGATGCTCCAAAATTGCTTTTACTCATATACTTTGTTTATTAGTAAATTTATAAAGAGAAAAAATTTTTTCGAATCAAATTTTTGATATTTTTTTGCAAATTTTACACATGGTAAATTAGCATTAAAATATAAGTAGAATTACAGCATTTGATATAGCTTTATTTTCTGCGCTTGCATTTTCCAAATGATTGAAAACTTCAGATGGAGTTGTTGTATCGATGTAGAGCCGTACATGATCACGTTCAAGATATGAACCAAAATTTTGTAACCATACCTACAAGTCATTAACCAACTAATTATAAGGCACAAAAATAATAAGAAAAGCATTCGCGATAAAAGAACTGACTAAGTATAGAATGCATTTTTTTCTTATTCATTAAATTTTAAAAGAAATTGGTATTTAACTTAGTCATGTAACAGTAATGAGTAATGAGTAAAAAAGTCATTGCACACACTCAAAAAAATGAAATTATAACCAAAAGAGTACACTTCTGTTTTTACATGAATCGCGCAAATTTTTTGTCCATAGAATTCTCTACAAATTTTATTATATACTTTTCTTGGTTTCTTTGTATACATGTCAAAAATTGGTAGGAATGTGCACAGCAAAATCAATGTAATCTTGTAAAATCGTGAAATCTACGATAAAATCATACGGATGTTTGTAAATGAAACACAAAATAGATTGATATGTGCGTGTATGCACACCACGATGACACGCAAACACACGGATACAGTCTACCTCTAAGACGCAGAGATCAAAAAAACGGGACAACTGTGAAGTGAAAAAATTCAATTTGTTTGAAATATTAATTATTTTGAGCATTTTTTTGCATATTCAAAAATCTATCCACATTTTTGTCGTTACTGAAAGTCAGTTATTGAAATTTTGCAATTTTTACTTTAATAAACATGTCAATTTGATAATAAATCTCTTTTATAAAGCAAAGATTATTTATGATATTTTAAAAAGTAATGCCTAAGTTTTAATTGTGAACATAATCCAAAAAAATAACGTTTTAAAATTCAGTTTAATGATTTTAAGACTAAACTGCTTTGAACGAATGATAACCTTACTAACCTTACTGATAACCTTACTGCTCTGTGCACTAATTTTATGTAGTGCATTGAAAATATGACTGTATTCTTTGATACTCTTGTAATAAAATATTAAAATAATCGTAATTTCAAAAGTAAACATTCAAAGTAGAACATTGATAACCAAATTAACTGATCAATCTCCATATCATGCGGTGCTTATTAAAAGCTATAGCTATTAATCTTTCTTGTGAATAAATTTTTTCAAATATGCAAAGTATTATAAATAAAGCATGAATAAACATATTGCACATTTCTTTAAAATATTAAAAAACTTTCGCCAATTTTTTCGATGGCATGTTGAAATATCATTGTATTCATTATTCAGTCAACAGCATCTCTTAAAAATGTCCGTACATTAGTAATGTCTGTCTGTCTTTTATTTGTAGTGAATGATCTGAATGCCAAACATTCCATCGCAAATCACTAATCACTTCAATTCTTAACTACTGAATCATCTAATTTACAAAAGTTTTTTCTAAATCACAACTGCGCGTATTATTAATTATTTGTTCATCAATCTAATGCATAACTGATTTAATATTTATTTGATTCGCCTTTCACGACACCTACCACCACCGCCTTGATAAGGAAAGCAAAGTAATCAACTTTTATATCATATCATGCTTTCAAAATACTTTTGCTATGATCATTACCTTTTTGGATTTCCAAAATGATTACAATTCTTATATCTATTTACAATACCAAAAATTGTCACCTCAGTGATATCGAAATTACGCGTCCAATCCGATAAGTCAAAACGATAAGCCCAGTCATTGAAAACAGTATGTGCATAGCAGTCGGAATGAAAAGTTGATTTACGTGATTGCGTCAATTCTTTTACGGATTTAGAACATGACGGGAGTGTGTTGAACTTTTCCAAAATAGCTCTAAAAATAGAAAATGAGATATAACCTCTAAAAGCAATGGAAATAATCAAATGTTTATAGCACTTATATATATAACATTTCAAATCAGTGATCCATGTCATAAAAAATCAAAACTTTAGTGTTAAAATTTTATAAATATTAGTAGCAATTAAACAAGCGAACCGTCGCCGATCGCAAATAAATAAACGAGCTTGTCCTTCGCCAAGAATTGTTTCACGATTTTCTTTATCCATTCTGTCAATTGCCATTCGCCAACGACGACAAACTAAGCGAGCACGATAACAAGCTAATGGCTCACACCTGTAAGTAAGTAAATATTACTAATTAAGGAAGTGAGTTTATTACTAAATTCGAGGTTAGATTAATAACCAGTGTTCAATAGAGTCAGCATTATTCGGATTTTAGTGAAAAAATTACGGTAATCTTGATTTTATTGGACATAAAATCGAGGTTATTTTTTAACTATGATTGATCTATATAAGTACTATTTACAAATATTACTATAATAACATATTCTCAACGTGACAGAGATTTCTAGTGATATTTCTAAAAATTAATATTATTTTAAGTATGTTTAGTATTATTGTTTACTTGTTTATTTTTTCTGTAATATATGCTTACTTCAATATCATCATAATACAGCAATGAGCAACAAATAAATATTAAAAAATTACATTTGTTTATTTGCGCTTAATATTTTGTAAAACTAAATCTTTCTCAGATATTTCTATATTTTAATCAATAAAGTATATAAGTTTTTGTTATAAAAATAACATTTTATAACATTATGGTTTGACAATTTTAATTTAAATTCTGCTCATCCATTATGAATTTATTTCTGTAAAAAAAAAGAAACTAACGTGGTACGATAAAAAATAAAAAAAGCTTGTGCAAAATCAACTTTTTCAAGATGACAACAACAACGTATGCCAGTTCTATTTTCCCTTCCTTTCAACTTACAATGACATCATGCTATCGTGATGAATTAGCTTATGCAAAAGAGTAGTCTTAGATATGACAAAACTACAAAAAGATGAAAAGTAATTCAGCTTTTCCTGCTAGCAAATTTCTGATAGAAATAGCATAATATTACTCAAATTAATCGTTATTACTTTCAATCAGAAATATACAACAGAGAGTAGACGCGATCAATTATGTAAACTAACCTTTTCTAAATTTAATACAAAAAATATGGTACTAGTTTCACAATAATTTTCTAAACTTACTATTTCAATAATAAATGAATTCCAAACCGTTTGAAAATCATTAGCATAACTTCTATTGGAATGTCATCGATCGAATATTCACGTTTTGACTTTCTTCTCATTGAAGATGCCATCATCATCATTAATGGTAAACTTTCTGGTTGATGTCGACACAGAATTCTGAGAATACAGCAACAAAGAGTCTAAAATTTCAACAGTGAAACTTTTTAACCACTATACTGCAAAAACACGCCTCGAAATTGCGTCAAACCAACGTATTAAGTAATGTCAGTTTTAATGACTAACTGAACTAGCCAGTACAAGCGTATATTTCAAAATCCTACAAAAACAATGAAAATAAATAAAGGGATACTGTAAATTAAAAATTTATATCCTGCTTCTTTAGTAAGGCAATATGGAGATAATATTAAGGTACAAATTATCATTATAAATAATAATACTAATAATAAATATTGGAACCGTTCGTCTGCCGTATAGAAGCACACAATGAATGACTTCGAAAATTTTTCCATTTTAAATTTTTTTGCAGTGAAATGTATCTTGATGGCATTCATCTTATTGTCTATGCAATCAATGAGAAAACAAGAAAAAAAATCAGCCTGAATAACTTCTTAATTTCCGGTCTAAGAACTTAGGAACAAATGTGAAAAATCGTAAACAAAAAAATAAATAGGCAACATAGAGATAGCATGAGCAATGATATGCAAAATTCACATTTAAAAAAGGAACATGTTAAAATTGCTTAAAAATGTTATTATAGATTTACTCAACATAAAATATAATATTTTTGAATATATAATAGGTATGATGCAATCATATCTTAGATGCTTTAAAGTCAACCTTCAACTAGTACCTGCCACTCCCAGTTACCAAAAGTGTACGTCATCTGCTTGAAGGTCAATCAGAAACTTTCTTCAGAATATTCCAGTTTTTCCTCTCAATTTCAAACTTTTAAAGGATAAACTTTACATTTTTTAGAACAGTAACTTAACTATAGTTCATGATGATTAAACTTTGTAGCAGTTCAACTGCATTTTTTTGTAGTAACCCAATGCACTTTATCTTGAAATTTTATGGTTAACATGATAAATCTTTGTGCTGCAGATTGCAATCAAAAATATAACCACAAATTCTCAATTATCGACAAAAATTATTATTAAAATACCAAAATTGTAAGTAAATACGCAAGTAAAATAGTTAACTGAATAACACAAAACAGATTAAATAAGCAGCTGATAAAAATTAGCTAATATATCAATTGACTATAAATTATGCTGGCATTTATTTGAAAAAATTGTATGTGACTGATTGAATGATTAATTTGCAAATATAGTAAAGCAACTGATAAAAATCACTCAACTAAACTATGAATTAATCCATGATTAATTTGCAAAATGTAACCGTCTGATTAAATGCTTACAAATCTTTAAATTAAATTTATAATGCATTTTCCTTCTAAAATTTTAAATTCGCATCATTCAAAAATGAATTCCTGCAAACAATATTGGTGTAAACTTTAAGTATCTAAACAAGTTTTCAAAATTAATCCAAAAATCTAATAACTAATTCAAAATATAACTTTAACTTGTAATGAAATGCATAAATTTAACAAAGAAGAAATTGTTTCACATTTTTTCTAATGTAGGTTGCTAAAAGTAAACATAAAAAGTTTACAAAACTTATGAAAACAACGTCTACTTTAATTGCAAAGAAATACAGAGAAATTAATTATACCATCAACATACAATTATAATCAGAAATTGCGGATGCTAAAAAAAAGAATGGCAACAAATACATATTTTTGTCCCTAATCTTTTTATTCAAACAAATTAAAACCAGAATGCAATCATTACACCAGCCCATATTATTCGAACTAATCACTAATTACACGGCTACTTTAACAAAACAACATTCTCCAACTTAGAAGCTCTTTAATAATTAGAGTGGCATAATTTATTCTATTTTTTCAGTTAAGAACAGAAAGCAAAAAAAAAAGATCATATCCCTTAAAAAAAAGATGATCGTGTTGAAGCTCAACGTTTCATGCTTAACTAATCATTTTATCTGCAAATATTTCAGTACATTTTACTCTCGTGCTTTATAAGTATATAACCTAAATTACTCATAATTTCCAGTATTTATTCTAAATCATTGATCCATATTCAAATTACTTTATTCATGAAAGTAACCGAATCACTCGAAAGTTACTCCTAACTTCTATTCATGATAAAGTGTTTTAGTTAATAAATTTCCGTTCTATTTCATCCATAACCATAAATATTTTCTGATTATTTTAGCATATTTCCGCATTATTTCATTTATAATCATAAATATCTTCTATTCTAATCGCAAAAATAAAAGATCTGAAATTAACCTTATATACAAGCAAACTTTCATTTTAAAAATGATTATTTTCATGAAAAAATGTTGAATATACTATTGAAAATGTAATGACTCTTGTTTAGCATAATTTTTATTTACAAATCATTGAAACTTAATCGGAAAGAGGAATCCAATTTAAATTCTTGTAATTTTTGTTCATTTATGATGTGCAATCGTATTCTAATAAAGAATGCAAAAAAAGCTCAGGTCGAAGAAGGCATTAAAAATATAACATAACACCATCTAATTGTATAGATTTAAACACAGAAATCACAATTGGAGATACAAAGGCAAAAATTATTTGAAATTTTAAGAAAAATTTCCTGTTTATCAGATACTTATGAACATTGAAGAGTTTGAATAGAAAAAATTTTGCACGTTTAAAATTATCTACAGGAAAAAATCAGTAATTAGAGCTTGGTAATTTTCACAACAGTTTTTGCATATTTTTAATACTATTCAATTTCATGCTGAAAAGCTATTAGCTGTAATATGGTAAATTTTGTAATCTTGACTGAAACTCACAGTATACATTTCCACTATAGACATACTCTCCAATATGAAATAAATGAAGACCTAAAATAGATACATGAGTCAAGAGACTAACTCAAGAACTTGATGGAAACAGCGGATTTAGTTCAACCCCGTTTAAATCGTCGATTAATGTCAGAAATTATAACACTTTTAGAGTCACAAATGAAACAATAACATAATTCTAGTCATTAAAAAATTTGTAATTTTACTTCATCTATTCGGTGACCCAAAAAACATGGATTATGATGTCAAATAGGCAAACGTTACTTTGCGGCAAATTAGTTTATATTAATAACTGGCGCCAAACATAATCAGCAAGATTGCAAACCTAGCATTTTATAGAAGAATATATATAAGCAAGAAAAAGAACAAGGTTATGCTAGTTACAAAAGTAATTAGAATTACTTACATGAATTATTAAAATGAATATTTAAAAAACAAAAATTACAGAGATTAAAAAGCAAGTAAATGACGAAACTTACTTCAATATCAGCATGACAGATCGATGCCAGCTCAAAATCAACTAAACTTGATAAAGACTTGGATATTCTTGGAGAGCAACAACCGATTGACCATTTCCTTTGGTTTTCTTGTTAAGACAATAACTAATACTAATAAAGCGTTTTCGACCTCTTCGGATATGGAAGAAAGCTGTGACAAATAAAATAGACAAAAAGAGTGATCCTATTAATCAACTGTTTTCAATTCATAACTAAATTTCAGCCACATATTGAAAAAAAAACATATATATATTTAATGCATTATGTTCAAGGAATATGCAATAATAAGTTAATGAATTATAAGAATAATGCAACTTTTCTACTTTGACTAATCTTAGTAGTGCATGTACAAGTTAAGCAAAGAAAATTCATGATCGAATAGTTCGAATTCTAAATTTAAATTAATAACTTAATGATCATAAGAATGATTTAAATTCTAACTTATATTAAACTACCCTAAAAACGTAATTAAATAATGAATACAAATTTCGAGGAAGAAAAAATAATAGGGTTTACTTTTCGGGTTACTCAAAATAAAATTACTTCATTTAAATAAAATGAAGTAACCCAGAAAACAACTAGCAGTCTTCAAGTTGAAGAATCAAGCAATGCAGCCAAGTATGAATAAGCCAGCATCAATATACAAATTTCTATAAAGTACAATGTGTCTACATCTTTAAAAAGCCAACGAAATTAAGCAGAAAATTTAGATTGTGTTAGAAAGTTCATTGTCTGCATGTCTGACCAAGAACTTCTCAAAGTGAAGATATTATGCAAATTATTGTCTAAACTTTTAATTGAAACTTTTGTAGCATTGTTTTTCAATAATACGAGAAGAAATGAGTAAAATTTTAGAGATTGAGTAACGAAATCCCAAAAAGAATACAAAATAAATAAGAGAAAAAAGATGAGTTAGAACAATGAATGCCTAATAGATTGGTAAAAATGCCATGAACTGCTAAAGAGCCGAATCAAAAAGTTGACACAGAGAAGAAGAAAAGTAGGACTGTTTACAAAGTGAGTTTCATATCTTTTTACCTAAAAAAATTTACACACCCAATGGCGGTAAAATTTTCTCATTTCTCCCGGCCTATCACGGCAAAATATAAAAGCTATTTCCGGATGTCAGTCTTTATTTTTTGCTTCTAGACACTGTCTACTCAATTTTGAATTAATATAAATTAATTTAAGAAAAATACAGCAAATAGTTGAGTGTGGGAAATATATTAATGACAAATAACCAAGTAAATGACATTGGCAATCGTCTCAGTTTGTTTGGAAGAAGCGGTTTTCATTTTTCAGCACAAACTTTTTTACGTGATTTTTATCGAATAAATTGCATAAAAGAATGCATGCAAAAACGAGAGTAATAAAGATTGAGACAAAAAAATTTTGATGCGTATAATTAAGATTTTGTTATACAATATTTGAGCTAATTAATATCATTACTATTAACTGATTTTTCCGCATTGCAAAAAGAATTTTTGAGAAATTTCTGAAAAAAAAAGGACAAAAAAATTACACTGAAAGAATGCGACAATTACAGTAATTTTAGTTGCCAATTTGCTGTGGAAAAAATTAATCAATTTTATAAATCTAATCACACAATTTAGTAAATCTAATCACAGAGTACTTACTGATGAATACGATATTGATCAATTAAAGATCGAAAATGAGCGGTCACTCACAATTTTATAAACCCAGCTGAGTCATACTGATGTCACTCATTTATTTCTGAATGCATAAAAATTGATCGTTTCTAAGTTTAGAGTTAAATTCGGTGTAAGTGCATGAAATAATGAAACTGTTTGATAATTATGCAATTAATCATTCCTACCTTTACAGCCTCGTTATTACTCCTATATTTCTTCCATAGATTCTTCTTCAAAATTAAAACAACTTTTACAAAGTCTATCCTTATTTTCAATCAATGATGCTGTTAAATTTAAAAATAAAAATGGTTTCATACGAAATTAAAATCTTTTATTATTATTTCTTTTCTTTTTTTGCAGTTATTATTTGTGATCAAAAATTTGCAAGCACAAATAATGAGCTTGTAAATTTGTAAATATTAGATCTTTATGATTTTTGTTTCAGTCAAGTTTCAATTTTCTGGCATATTTACGCGACTAAAGTCACACTTGTGAAGTCTTAGTATCAACTCAGTACATCAACCAACATCATAAAGTTTTTGATTTTGAAGAAGAAGGCACCAAAATGAATAAAAAAGAATAAACTTTCAGTCGTTTTCAAAAAACGACGCATGAAAAGCTTTTTTTTTAGAAATAATACACTAAATGAAAAATATTTATCTTTCCTAAGCTTATTAAGCAACGTCACTTTTTTTAAAACACTGACCAGAATTTTAATTATTTATGACACCAAGCAAAAAATCTTTTTAGGACGCCAGGTAACAAAACTTTAACCCTTCTAAAAGGCACCAAAAATTAAGTCTCAATTTTTTCTCCAA